TGCTGTGTGTATTGGGGGAATATATGTCGTCTGTGTGTATCTTTGTAAATTACATTTTTCAGCACAAGCACTAATCCTGCCAAATAATTACAATGTTTACAGAATCTGATGCAATCCATCTGTTGAAAAGGCTTTTCCGTATTTAGGCTGATAAAATATAAAACAGTTGCTGAAGACTGAACAAAATCTATGGATCTTGATTTTGGGAGCACGTCATGTTTCTTCTAGGCTGTGCAATGGGATGACTGGTGAAAAGCTTCCAGAGGCTTGCTGGGCTCTTTGGGATGGACATAGCAACACGGTCTAGGCTCAGCTGCCTTCCTTAATAGACTACTTTCTCACTAAGAACTGACACTAAGGCCTGGTCCTATGCACTTGAAATGCAAGATGTTCAAAGGCATAACCTCTTCCCTTTGCTGCCATTCTTGCCTTACAGCTAAATCTGGTTATAGCGTTAGTAGAGAGACTCAAGGCATCTTAGTTGAATAGCCTTTCTCCCGTGAGAGGTTTACTACTGGGGTGAGCTGAAAGGCAATGAACGAGATACTTTAAAATGTGAATTTTTGTTTTCAAGACTTGGTGTTTTAGTTTGGGTTCCCCCAGATGCAGGCCCTGAAACAAAGATTAGATGCCATTGGTTTATTTGGGAGGTTCAGGGAACACTGGCCGGACAATGAAGAAGTAGTAAGGGGAATGTGGTCAATACCAGATGTATTAGGCTAGTTTCCCTGTGGGTGGCTGGAGCTTAACCTCAGAAATCGTGTAGCACACATCCCTCAGGATTGTCCCAGCTGAGAGAGGCATGGGACCTGGGTACTGCTATCACTGACCTATTATGTGCTTCTGTACTTACTATTGTTTTGTTATTTCTTGATGGATCAACTTTAAACATTATCCACTAACTTCCACCCATGAAACTGAGGATCTACCTCACTTAGATTAGACACCTCTAGAAATATCACTTTCCCTCTGTGGGTTTGCCTTCTAATAATTTTAATGGTAGTTTGGGAGTAATAATATTTTAATTGTTGTGATCAAATCTATCAATCTCATTTTTGTGCCCTGCTTAAGACTTTCTCTATGTCAAGGTCATGAGATAGTCTTCCATATTATCTTCTAAGAATTATATTGTTTTGTCTTTTTATTTTTAGAACCATAATTTAATTGATTTTTAATATGGTGTAGGTTACAGAACAAATTTACACTTTCTGAAAGAAAGAATATATTAATAGCATAATAACCAACAAGGGCTCACTTTCATAATATATAAAGAAAATAAACAAATCAATAAGAAAAATACTATCCAACAAAAACATGCAAGAATGTTGAAAAAAGACTGCAGATAAGGATATTCTAATGACCAATCAATGTTTTTAAAAGTTACTTAACCTCATTTGCAATCACAGAAATACAAATTCAAACCATAATAAGAAACAATTTTATATTCTTAAATGACAAAATAATGAAAAAGTCTGACAATAGCAAGTGTTGGCAAGAATATAGAACATCAGAGACTCTCCTGAACTGCTGGTGAAAACATAAATTATTAAGATAATTTTGAAATTATTTGACATTATCTAGTAAAGTTAAACATACACATACCCTATAATACAGGAATTTTACTCTTTGGTGCACATAAGCACAAAGAGACGTGTTCAAGAATTTTATAGCAGTATTAGAGGCTCAGTGAACAAAATTAGTGCACTGGGGGGGTGGGGAAAGGGGGTCCCTAGCCTGGCCTGCGCCCTTTTGCAGTCTGGGAGTCCTCAGAGGATGTCTGGCTGACAGCTTAGGCCCGCTCCCCGGGGGCCTAAGCCAGGGGGAGTGGGCCTAAGCCAGAAGTTGGACATCCTTAATGCTGCTGCGGAGGCGGGAGAGGCTCCTGCCACAGCTGCTGTGCTTGCCAGCCATGAGCCTGGCTTCTGGCTGATCAGCACTCCCGTTGTGGGATTGGGCTGAAACCAGCTCTCCAACATCCCCCGAGGTGTCCCAGATTGCCAGAGGGCGCAGGCTAGGCTGAGGAGTGGGGCTGGGAATTGACCAGGGAGGTTGGCCAGCTGGGGAGGGACCACGGGAGGGCTCCAGGGTGTGTCCGGCCTGTCTTGCTCAGTTCTGATAGGCTGGACCCCAGCATCAAGCTAACCTACCCGTCGGAGTGTCTGCCCTCCTGGTGGTCAGTGCACATCACAGCAAGCAGTTGAGCAGCCTTAGCATATCATTAGCATATTATGCTTTGATTAGTTTAACAGCTGACTGGTCGACCAGGCATTTAGCATATTAGGCTTTTATTATATAGGATTATTCATTATAGTTCCAGATCAGAAATAGCACAAAAGTACACAAACAGTAGAATGAGTTAATACATGGTAGAATGTTTTTGTAGCAGAGTGATGAATCTCACAATTATAATTTTGAGCACACGTAACCAACACACACACACACACACACACATGCACGCGCGCACACACACCGCAGTGCATGATTACATTTCTATGAAAATTAAAAAACAAGCAACAAACTATACCGATGGAAGTAAGTATAGAGATTATTGCTAACAGATATTAAGGAACCCACTATAATGAGTAAATTAATTTCCTAGAGCCACCATAACAAAACAACACAGGCTTAAACAACAAAAGTTTAGTTAATCACAACTCTGGAGGTAGAAGTTCAAGATCAAGGTATTGGCAGGGTTAGTTTCTTCTGAGACCTCTCTCCTTGGCTTATGGAGAGCTCTTCTCTTCCCATGTCTTCACCTGGTCTTCTGTGCATTTTGTGTCCTAATTTCCTCTTCTTATAATGATACCATTCAACTGTTTTTGTAGCAGTAAAGGAGCCACAGTAAATGAAGAGTGTAAAAGTATTTCAAAAACAAGCTGTAGGCTGAATTTGGCTTGTGGCTCTAGTTTGATGCCCCCTGTTATAGACATTAAACAATAGAATATTCTGAACTTTATGGGAAGAAATTCAACAGTTTAGAGCAGAACAAATTATTTAAAAGACTCAAATTGTCAAAACTGGTACAAGAAGAATTAGAAAATTAAAATAGCCCTGCCCTGGTAGGGTGACTCATTTGATTGGAGCATCATCCTGTACACCAAAAGGTTGTGGGTTCAATTCCCAGTCAGGGCACATACTTGTTAAGGATTCAATCCCTGGTTGGGGTGCATACAGGAGGCAAACAATCAACATTTCTCTGTCACGTCAATATTTCTCTCTCTCCATCCTCTCTCTAAAAATAAATAAAAACATATCTTGGAATTTAGATTTAAAAAATTGAAATAGCCCTATATCAGGTTTTCTCAACCTCAGCACTATTGACATTTTGGTCTGGATAATTCTTTGTGTGTGGGGGGGGGGGGGGGGGGGGAGGACTCTCCTGTGTATTATAGGGTTTTCAGCAGTATCTACCCACTGTAAGAAATACCACTCAGTTACAACAACCCAAAATATTGCCAGATGTTACCAACTGTCCTTTACAGAAGGGGTAAAATCACTTCTGGTTGAAATCAGAATACTATACTAAGAAATTTAATTCATAATGAAAAAACCATCCTGGGTGCTCCTTCATTGTAATGTTGATATATACCTTTGATTGACTTTATATTGATTAGACTATCTTACAACTTTGTAGATAGAGGTTAACTTATAGAAAAACCAATGACAATGTTAATCAATAATTATTGTCTGAGAGCAATGCAAATGATTCCCATCCATAGTAATGAGCATGAATTTTGCCCAGCAGAGATGGAATTGATTTCCATCTGGTAGAAGAGATAATTCTAAATATTATAGTTTATTACTTAATATGATATTAATCATTTTGCTACTATTAGCAAATTCATTTCAGCATTCAGATAATCTAAATCTCTGAACCTCAAATTCTTATTTGAACAAGTACTACCATCTTACTAGCTCCCTCATTATTTAGGATAATAATGGATGAGTAGTTTATTATGATGAAGAAAATCTTTGGCATGCGTTCATTTTATATTTGTACTAGAGGCCTGGCTGGTGATCAGGGCTGATCTGGGTCTTCCTGCTGTCGGCCAGGGCCTTCCTTCGTTCCACGCTGCCCCCTGGTGGTCAGCACATGTCATAGCGAGCAATTGAACTCTTGATGTCCTGGTGGAACAATTTGCATACTAGGCTTTTATATATATAGATGAGTTATGTTTTTCACCTTTTCAATTGACTTTATTGGGGTGACATTGGTTAATAAAATTATATAGGATTCAGATGTACAATTCTATAACACATCATCTGTATATTGTATCATGTGTTCACCATCCCAAGTCAGGTCTCCCATCACCATTTATATCACCCCCTTCTACCTCTCCCCCTTCCCTCTGATAATCACCATACTGTTGTGTGTCTATGAGGTTGTTTTTTGTTTTTGTTTTTTTGGTTCATCACTTCACCAGTGGGGCAATGCTCCTCCTCTCTGACAGCTGTCAGTCTTTTCTATTTTGTTTGTTAATTTATTTTGTCCATTAGATTCCACATGAGTGGAATTATGGTTCGTGTCTTTCTCTGGCTGACTTATTTCACTTAGTTTAATGCTTTCCAGGACCATCCATGCTGTTGCAAAGGGTAAGATTTCCTTCTTGGGTTTTTTTAAGGGCATAGTAGTATTCTGTTGTGTAAATGTACCACAACTTTTTTATCCACTCATCTACTGACGAACACTTGGGCTGCTTCCAAATCTTGGCTATTGTAAATAATGCTGCGATGAACATAGGGAGTGCATGTTTTTCACCTTTTGGAAATGATAACTTGCCCTGGCTGGTGTGGCTCAGTTGGTTGAGCATCTTCCCATGCACCAAAAGGTTGCTGGTTCATTTCCTGGTCAGGGCAAGTGCCCAGGCTGTGGGGTTCGAGCCCCAGTAGGAGGCGTGCAGGAGACAGCTGATCGATGTTTTTCTCTTTCTACTCCTCTGCCTTCCTCTCTCTCTAAAATCAGTAAAAATATATTTAAAAGAAGAAGAAATAACTTTGCAGGCTATAAGAAAATAAATACATATTAGGTGGTAATAAGTTATAAGAATAAAAGTAGGGTAAGAGCACAGCTATTGACTGGTGGTGTAGTGTGTACTATTAAATATGGGGCCAATCAACCAGCAAGTCCTGTGCTTTCTCTCTTTTAATTATAAGTGGGACCTAACCCCTTCAGTACCAACTGCTAGCTCCCAGGCCTCCCTGACACCCCCTTCTGGGATGAGGACTGCACGGAGTCTCTCCCAATGCACCAAGCATCCAGGCGGAGCCAGCATTCCGAGCGAGTAGCTGCTCTGGTCCAGCATCCTCAAGGGAACCCTCGATGGTCCAGCATCCTCAAAAGAACCCTGGAGGGGCCGGTTGGCCCCTGAGAGTCCGGGTGGGCGGAGCCTCCGTCAGCCCCGCCCCCTACGGCGGAGCGGCGCGCGCCACCTCGGAACGCCGGCGTCTCGCGCAGCAGTTCCGGTCGGAACTACCCGGCGGGGCACGCTGACATGGCTGCGCTGGTAGTGAGCGGGGCTCGGCACCTGCTGAGGCGAGCGGACTTCGCGAAGGTCCTGCGGAGACACCGACATAAGAAGAAATGGGTAAGGGCCAGCCGGGAGCCGAGGAGGGGACGGTAACTGCGGCCCCCGGCGGCCGCCCCCCGGGAAACTTGCCGTGAGGTTCGTCACTCCCGCCCCGTGGGGCGCCCTTGGCCTCTTTCCCCGCCCCTCAGGGGGCGTCACTAGCCCCTCCCTCTCACGTCTGTGCTGTCCGCGCCCGGGTCTTTTGTCCGCCCTTTTATTTCGCCTCTAGTCCTCGACTCCCCCTCGTGTTCCGTCTGCAGCCTCCCATCTCCGCCGCTGTCACTGACGTCATCACCGCCGCCCTCATTCTTCCAGTTACGTCACGGCCTCTTGTTCCCGGCGCTCGGTCATCTTCCCCGGGACGCCCGCTGTCCCTTCCACGTCCCTTCCTCCCTTTTCCTTTCCCGCCCTCTCTCCCCCTCCCCCCCTCCCCACATGACTTTCTCTCCTTTCCGGGTAGACTTTTCAGCCCGGCCGCCCGCACCGGTCGAAAAAGGCCCTAGCAGCTTCCCCTTTCTTCCTGGGTCCCCGCCGCCCTCCGGGAAAGGACTCTCCCCTTTCCTCACCCTCGAGCTGCCTCTGGGGCCCAGGAAAGGTTACAGCGATCCCCCTGCCCATCCCGCCAGCCCTTCCCCAAACCGGGGCAAAGGGTGCATCTCCACTCACCCTCCGGGTTCCCCCCAGTTCCCCAGAGACCCCTTCTCTGGCCTCACCTGCGGCCCTGTCTCCCCACCCCCACAGCCTCCCCTACGCCTGGCGAGATGTTCCTTTGAACCCTGTTTGCCCCTCCTCGGAAGGCAACCCTGCCGCGAGCCTGTCTACTGGGGTTCACCCCCTCCGAGCCCTTGTTTTGGCCGATTCAGGCTCAGGGGGTCACCCCCTCCCCATCCGCAGAGCCCCTATTGCAGCATGATGAGTCCCCCGAGAATATCGTGGCCCGGCCCCAGAAGCCCTTACATGGACCAGAGCCCCTACCTCTGTTACTCTGTGCAGTATCCTGCAGCCCTGGTCACATGCCCGGTGACTGGCCCCGTGATTTCCCCGTACCTTGCTCACCGGCCCATGGAATACAGACCAGTAATTTACCCACCCGTTTCTCACGGGGTTTTGCACGTCTCGCGGATCTCCCCTCTGTACCCTACCTGGTCCTCAGGGAGAAGTTACAACGATTCTCCTTCTTCAGCATCTTCCCTGCCCACTGGCCAGCTTTACCTGGGTCATCTGAGGCCTCCAGACTCTAGTAAACCTCAACCCCAGCTTGACCCACCCCTGGAGAAAAATTATTGTGGCTCCCTGTTTTCCCAGGCAAATGCTCCGGGCTGTCCTCGCTCTCCTCAAGAGGACTCCCATCACTATTCCCATCTTCCCCCAGAGGCCCCCGTGTCTACCCCTGGGAGCCCCTATTGTGGCAACCCTTTACCAGCCGGGATGATTGATGCTTCTTGCTCACCCCAGTCCCAGGCTTCCAGGAAGCCTAGCTTAGAGTCCGTTTCCTCCTGGGAGACTAATGGGAACTCGTACCTTGTTTCTGGCACCCCGATTTCTGGTTCCCCCTGTTCCGAGGAGCCACCTCTTCCCCAGTCTGCGCAGTATCCTAATTCTGCCTTCTCTTTCCCTTCACCCCTGGGCAACCAGTTTATATCTCCACCGCAGTCACCTCCCCGTAGAAGCTATAATGAACCCTCTCTCCTTACCCCAGTTTATCCCCAAGTGAAATCCCCCAGATCTCCAGAGTTAAAACAGCCATGTGCTCCCTGCAGCCCTGACCAGTACACTCCTTCTGATCAACCCAAGCCCCCTGAGGATAGCACCTCTCCTCCACTTCCCTCCCACCCTTGTGGTCTCTCTGATCCTTCTTGTTCCATCACAACTTGTTCAAATTCCTGCCCCCAAACACTTTCCCAAGGGGCTGTCTTACCTACTCTGGTACCTAGAAACCTGAAAACTGTTAACCCCACTTCACTTCCCCGCCGCCTTCCTTGTGATTCTATCTTACCTAATGTTTATGCTCAGAGCTACCCCCATGGACCACCTCTGGGAACCCCTTGCAATACCCATATATATTCTGTAGTTCCCTCCACCCCTAATCTCTGCCCACTCTCTGGTTCCATGGGGCCCCCTCAGTGTCCTAACCAGCCCATGGTGCCTCCTTGTGGCACTTACGGCACTCCCAGGGGCCCACCCCAACCCCCTCGACAGCCTGTAGGACCTCCATGTTCTACCCACATCTATTCATTTATCCCTTTAAGAACACCTTTTGACCCCCAGAGTTTACCCATTGCCCCCCGACCCTGCGGCCACCCTGCTACTACGCCCTGTGGCCTCCACGTATACTCTGTGGCTTCTCAAGGCTCTTGCAAAGAGCCCCCCCAGATACCCTACAGCTCTCCATTGCCTTCATCCATGAGTTCCAGCTGTAGTAGCAATATTCCCAGCTGCAGTTCAACTGTTATAATTAATGAATGCCAGAGTAGTGACAACCAGAACAAGAATACCCATCAAAGCAGAAGTCGGAGCCAGTGTGAGAATCCCAACCCTCTTAGCAGAAGTCGGAGTAAAAGCAAGTGTCGCCTTCTTAGCAGAAATCAGAGCCTGACCATTCGCTCCAACCAAAGCTTAAATGAGGATCAGAGTGAGAATCTTCAACTTGCTATATTTCAAAGACAGAGTGAGAGTCCCCAATATAGAAAAAGTCAAGGTCCAAACAAGAGTTCCCACCATCTCAAAAGGCAGGGCAAGAGCCAAAACAAGAGTTCCCACCATCTCCAAAGGCAGGGCAAGTGCAGAAGCTCCCATCACAGCAGGAGCCGGAGCAAGAGTCCCCACTGTAATAAGAAATGAGAGCCAAGAGCAAGAGTTCTGACCAAACCAGAAATCCAGGCCAAAGCAAAATTCACAGACAAACAGGACTGCCAGCCATAGTAACACTCAGCTGCAGCAATCAGGACCAACTTATGGACTCCTCAGTTGATATCTTCATTTTCCTTTTAATCTACTTTTATGCTCGTCAAGCCTGACTGATGTCCCTCTCTGCTACTCCCATAGAAGTCATCCTAGAAGTTCCCAGTTTGGTTTGAACCCCAAAGTTTCAATGAACTCTCCTTTTCCTACCTTCCTGGGGTCTGGAAACTCCAAAATTACCCTCCACCCTGTGATCGCATTATGGCTTTTGCCACTGCATAACCTTAGGTAAGTACCCTTATCTCCATCAAATGTGGAAGATTAATGTTTTTGTATCCCACTGAACTATCTGTTGTGCTCACATAAGCTAGGAGACATGAAAGTGCTTTAGAAAATGGAAGGGCTAGTCAGAGAGAAAGGGTCTTGCTTTTCAGCCTGATACTTTCCCCAAGGGCTTCATAATTTCTTCCAATCTTCTGTAGATTTTCCTCGAGTCCTCTTCTGAGCTCTCATTCTCTTAAGTTCCTCTTACTCCAAGACCTGGAGGAGTGCCCCTTTCTTGGTGACCCCCACATGCTATTGTGAAAACTACAGCTTCCTTTCTCTCACACCCCTGAGATAGACCAGCTCCTTAGTACTTTTCTCTCCTACACTTCTCTGGCTGGCAGAAGCAGGGTCCAAAGGCAGGAGTGGGCACTAACTGGATCCACATTATCTCTAGAGATCTGATTTATTGCTGGGGTCGGGCAGTAGGGGATAGAGAGGTAAGACTGGAAGACAAATAAGTCTGTTCTTTCCCTTGTAGGCTGCCACAGAGCCCAAATTTCCTGCCACTCGCCTGGCTCTGCAGAATTTTGACATGACCTACGGTGTGCAGTTTGGAGATCTTTGGCCATCGATCCGGGTCAGTCTTCTCTCAGAGCAGAAGTATGGTGCACTGGTCAATAACTTTGCTGCCTGCGATCATGTGAGTGATGAACTGGAGCAGCTGCATGCCAGAGACTTTGTGAATAAAGCCCACTCCCATGGGGAACTGGAGCCTGAGAGTGGCCAAACGACAGCTCCATCCCCCGCTTCCTGGGCCTGCAGTCCAAACCTTCGATGCTTCACTTTCACCAGAGGGGATGTCAGCCGTTTCCCTCCTGCCAGGTAGTATCTGGAGCCATGGCTGGGGCTGTCTTGAGTGTCTGCTGGAAGAGACCAAGCTTTTGCCATCTTTAATAGAGATCATAATATTGCTAGTATTTACTGAGTGCTTATACATGTTAGCCTTTTTTCTAAGTGCCGCACATATGTGATCTCCTTTTGTTCTGTTAACAGCCCTCAGAGGTAATATTATTTTTCTTCTTTACATTTGAGGAAACAGGTGCAGAGAAGTTGAATTCCTTATTTGCTTTAGGTCCCTTAGATAGTAAGTGATACAACAAATAGATTCTGGTGGTCTGACACCAGAACCTGGTCTTTGAACCTCCTCTGATCTACTGCCTCCTACAGAAAACAACCACCTCTGACTTGAGCATTTACTACATCCTCTCCAGTTAAAATTTGTGTTATTTACAACTGCTTTCTTATAATCACCCATTAAAGTGAGTAGGACAAGTAACCTCATGGTACCAAAGAAGAAGAGGGACTTGCCCAGGAAACAGGGTTTGCACAGAGTTAGTACTCCAGGAAAAAGAAAGGAAAGCTTCTGGTCTTCTGATCCAATGCTCAGATGTGTATGAAGTTGAATGGAAAAGAAACTAATCAAATGCTAAATTGTGCTTTACAAATTGAGAAAAGAACAGATTAGGGTTAGTTGTAGAATGTGGAATTCATCTTTGAAGGATTGATTCATTCAGTCAACAAATTTTTATTGTATACCAAGTGCCAGGCATTCTTTTTTCTTTTTTTCTTACAAACCCTTGTGTCGAGGGCTGACTTTCAATAGATCACAGTGAGGGAGCTGGTCTGCTACATACGAATCCCCAACCAGAAGCAGGTGGTCCCAGGCATTCTTAAGTGCCTGGATTATGGATGCACAAGCCCTCATGGAGCTAACAGTCTAGTGAGGAAGACAGCTATTAAAACACTACTTATGGCCCTGGCCAGGTAGCTCAGTTGGTTAGAGTGTTGTCCCAATATGCCAAGGTTGCGGGTTCGATCCCCTGTCAGGGCACATACAAGAATCAACCAATGAATGTGTAAATAAGCAGAACAACAAATTGATGTTTCTCTCAAATCAATAAATAAAGAAAAACAAAATAAAAATAAATTTAAAAACTCCACTATTTATGATTTTGATAAGTACTACAAAGGAAAAGTGCAAGATGTTATAATTAGGAGATATAACCCAGTCTTTTCTGAGGGTGTTAAATTTAAGTTAAGACCTGAAAACAGTAGGAATTAAAGCTGGTGACATGGGTAAGAGTCTAAATATGAGGCTACTACAGCAGGCAAGAGCCAGATTATAAAGGTATTATAGGTAATATGGGATTTTGGACTTTTTCTCTAAGGGTAAAAGGGAACTATGAAAGGTTTTAAGCTGGTGAATGATATGACCATATTTGAATTTTTAAAATATCATTTTGGCTGCTGCATGGGAAACATTGGAGAGGGGCAAGGCTAGAAATGCGAATGTAAATTAGGAGGCTTTTGCAATAGGCCTAGCAACTGGCTTGAAGGAAGGCTGTATTCTTAAGAGTAGTAAGAGCTTGGCCAGCATGGCTCAGTGGTTGAACGTTGACCTGTGAACCAAGAGGTCACGGTTCGATTCCTGGTCAAGGCCTTGCCCGGGTTGTGAGCTCGAACCCCAGTGTGGGGTGTGCAGGAGGCAGCTGATCAATGATTCTCTCTCATCATTGATGTTTCTGTCTCTCTCTCCCTCTCCCTTCCTCTCTGAAAACAATAAAAAAATAATTTTTTAATAAAAGAGTAGTAAGAAATGAGGCTGGAAAAGTATGTGTAGGCCATGTGGGGGAATCTTGGATGTCAGGAGCTTGTAGGTTGGGGAAAGGAAATTATTTTCTGGTGGCCCAGTGTTGCTTAAAAATAGCTGAAATTGCCAGGGCTGGGTGGCTTCATACTATGTGCCCTTTAGTACATACTGCTGTAAATTGCCAAGATCTGTTTTAGAGAACCACCAGAAAGGGTTTCTGAGTAGAAGAGAAGAATAATGCACAGAATGGGCCTTTGAGTCAAAAAAACCTATATTTACCTCCTGCCTTCATCATTTATGAGACATGTGGCATTGAATAACTAGAGTTCACTATGTGCCAGCTGCTTTTCTAAGCATTTGACTTATATTAATTTCTTTACTCCTTACAATAATCCTATCTGGTGAGTATTGTTTTTATAGGTGAGGATATTGAGGCACAGACAAGTTGAGTATTTTCTGAAGGCCACACAGCTAATGAGCAACTGGGCTGGATTTGAGATCCAGGCAGACTGGCTCTCGAATTTGGGTTCTCCTCATAGGGTTGAAAATTAAATGAAATTATACATGTTAAACACCTAGTTCAATATAGCCCTAATAAGTACTATATCTTACTGTTGACATATTCTAATCAAAGCTATGCTTCAGGAAGATTATTTTAGTATTA